CGCTAGTGACAACAAAAATGACACGCCAATGGAAGCAGATGGCTTCACTGCTCAGGTGATTATCCTGAACCATCCAGGCCAGATCAGTGCTGGCTACACCCCTGTACGGGATTGTCACACAGCTCACATTGCTTGCAAGGTTGCTGAGCTGAAGGAAAAAATTGAATGCCGTTCTGGTAAAAAGCTGGAAGATGGCCCTAAGTTCTTGAAATCCAGTGATGCTCTCATTGTTGATGTGGTTCCTGGCAAGCCCAAGTGTGTTGAGATCTTCTCTGACTATCCTCCTCTGGGTCGTTTTGCTATTTGTGATATGAGACAGACAGTTGCTGTGGGTGTCATCAAAGCTGTGGACAAGAAGGCTGCTGGAGCTGGCAAGGGCTGAAAGTCTGTCCAGAAAGCTCAGAAGGCTAAACGTATATCCCTAATTTCTGCAATATGAGTCTTAATCAGTGGTGGAAGAACAATCTCAGAACTGTTCGTCTCAACTGGCCATTTAAATTTAATAGTAAATTTAAACATCATAAAACCTTCAGAAGGAAAGAAAAATATTTTGTGTGCAATTGTGTGTGTGTGTGTGTGTGTGTGTGTGAGTTTTAAGTTATTAGCTTTTAAAATCAGTCCTTTTTAATGGAAAAAACTTGACCAAAAATCTGTCACAGAATTTTGAGACCGATTAAAACAAAGTTTAATGGGAAGGAAAAAAAAAAAAAGGCACAGACTTGTTGAATGCATTAAAACAAACAAACAAACAAAAACAAAAAAACCCCAGGAACCTTCTATATGTGTTAAGAAACACATCTCATGGATAAATATGAACATAATCAGAAATTAAAAAGGATAGTACAATAAATACTGAAGGGAAAAAAATGATAATTAGGGAGTACTATGGTGACTACACATGAACAAATGGAACACCTAGAAGAAATGCACAAATTTCTGGACACATACAATAAACTTAGATTGGAAGAACTTGAAAGCCTGAATAGACCAATAACAGGCAATGAATTTGAATCAGTAATGAATAAGTATTCCAACAAAGGAAAGACCAGATCCTTATGGCTTTGCTTGTACTACAGAAGAAAATGTAAAGAAGAAAATGGTATTATTTCTTCTCAAACTGTATCTAAAGATCTACATGGAAGGAATCCTAAATTCATTTTATGAAGCCTCCATCATCTTGATATCAAAAGCAGACATGGACACAACAAAAAAAGAAAACTACAGACTAATATCCCTGGTGAATACAGATGAAAAAATTCTCAACTGGATACTAACTAATAAATCCAACAGCGCAATAAAAATATATTCACTATGACCAAGTTAAGCTTTATGCCAGGGATGCAAGAATGGTTCAGTATACACAAAACAATAAACGTAATACATCAACAGAAGGAAAGATAAAAATCATATGATCATCTCAATAGATGCAGAAAACGCATACAACATCTTTTTGAGATTAAAACTGAACAACATATGCATGGAAAATACATTTCTTAACACAATAAAAGTCACTTATTATGGAAAGTCATGAGAAGCTACTTGAAGAGTTTTAGGTAGGAAGTGACATGGTCAGGTGTGATCTGCCTGAGTAGAAATGCCAGTCCTCTGGGGACAGAGCGAGCATACTTTAAGCCACATGTAAAAGAGGCATAGCCTAGAAGCAAAGTAACTGTAGTAAGAAATATGTTCTCTGTGGCCCAGCTGTGGTAACAGTTGTGGCATAACATTCTAGAGTGCTAGAAGATTGGAACTTTGATTCCCAGGTCAATCTGTACACTAGAACAGACCGATTCTGGCTGACTGGAAAGCTTAGAGGAGGAGACTGCAGCATGGGACCCTATTCGGGATATTTGCTTTGCTCTGTGTGTGTGTGTGTCTCTGTCTCATGGAAGAAAAAAAATAGATAAATTTAAAGAAAAAAGAAATATAAACTTTGTAAACTGGATACATTTTTAAAAAGAGTTATTTACTTAATTTTACTTATCACTGTTATTTTTCAATTTGCTACAGGGCATGCACACTCATCAGAGAGGGACAGAGAGAGGGAAAGTGAGAAAGCAAGCCACTGGGTCCAGGACTAGAACCACGGTTGGCCATGTGAGAGTCTAACTTCAACCACCACAACCTGCTGGTCCCAAAACTGAATACATTTAATGTTTTATAAAGTATTAAAAATAACAATCGGGCTAGTAGGCAACATGGTGGTTAAAGTGGCTGGATCCCACATGGCTGATTGAACAGTACAAACCTGAGACCTGGCAACTTGAAAACACACCAGACATGTGAGTGCCCAAATAGTGAGAGCATAGAGTAGAAAGGATTGCAGCATGGCTGTCCCCTTGGTAATGTGTGTGTGTGTGTGTGTGTGTGGGTGATTTCTCAATCTGCCTTTCTTTATCTCTCTCTGTCTCTCTCTCTGGCAAGTGCACATGTCCTATACCAAAACCAAAAACAAATGAACAAAAAAGCACCACCCATACAAAACTTGTACACGAATACTCAAAGCAACATTATTTATAATAGTCAAAAAGTGGGAACAACCCAAATGCTTATTGACTCATAAACTGATCACTAAACTGTGCTATATGCATAGAACAGAGTCATTATTTGGCAATAAAAAAAATGAAGTACTGATAACATGCTATATAACATGGTGACCCTTGAAAACATCATGCTAAGTGAAGAAGTCACAAAAGACCTCATATTTTTTAACTCTATTTATAGAAAATGTCTAGGATAGGCAAATTTATAGCGACAGAAAGTAAATGAATGGTTGCTTAGGGTTGGGGAGGAGGTGGGGGTATTGACTGCTAACAATGGTGGAGTTTCTTTTAAGGGGAACACTGTTGTAAAATTGGTGATGGTTGCATAGACTGTGAATAGACAACAAAAGCACTGAATTGCACAGCATGGTAATTGTATCTCAATAAAACTGCTATAAAATAAAATAATTTAGAAAGGGATCTGGGAACTAGGGACATCGAAGAACTGGCTCTCAATCCTAAATTCTTCTCACATTGTATTTATTGTACTCCAAATAATTGTAGCCAGCACAAGAGACCACAGTGACTGTCTTGCTAGGATGAGTTGGGAGGATTTATGGCTCTATTAAATACATGCTGGAATGCAAATTAGCAGTACCAAGCAGCTGTTTCAGTTAATCAGTATGAGGGCTATAAACAATACTCAAAAAAGTGCTCAATTAGCAATTTGAAAGAATGGTCTTAATTTGTTAAAAGAATACTATTTTTCCTTTTAGCATTTTTCCTTTAAAAAAATAAATCTATACTTTTTCTTGAAATCTTGCTTCCATTAAAAATATTTGTTTAAGATATTGCTTCAGACTTTATTTTCTATCCAGTTCTTGAACTGTGATTAGGAACATATGAATCATTGTTTATTAACTACTACATAGGTTCAAAATAGCTTCAGAGAAAGGGAATATGAGGTTGAGCAGGTGGCAGTGCTTCCGTTTTCACACTGACAAGGCCAGGGTTTCTTAGGGAAGCATTCTTGGTATCTGTGTTAATCAGTTTCATAGTTCCTCAGCTGGTGTGTGTGTGTGTGTGTGTGTGTGTGTGTGTGTGTGTGTCCAATTTCATTTGGCTTGTGCTGCTCACTCTGTTAGGTTTTCATAAACATTCATTTCATTTCCCTTTCCAGCTTCCGCCCTACTGGTGTGTGCATGCCAAAGAGTAATTCGGCCTTAACCACTTGCCATGTAGGCTAGTTCAATAACCTTGTTTTATGTATGAGGAAGCTGAGACTGGGATGATAAGGAACCTTGGTTAGATTGCATCATTAGTTAACGAGAGGGCTTCAAGCTGGAACTCAAGTCACCTGATTCATTTCTCTTAGTGAAACACTCTATTTTCTAGCTTCAACCTCTCCCTTTTTCAGTTTTAGATCAGTGAATAAGTATCTACATGAAACATCAATCTATGTTCCTTTCTCATAGGGTGGTATCTGTGTAGTGTAAATGGAGGGAGAAAAAAAAAAAATCGAAGGCAGACCCTTTCGAGTCATTCTTTTCCCCAAATAGCAAAAAAGTTCTCACTTGTTTCTCCTATTAATAAGGAGACATCCACATGTTTTTATTAGGTAGCAGCAAACTACAGACTAATATCCCTGACGAATACCAGTACCAAGGCTTTGACCTAATGAATACTAAAAAAGGAATATCAAGGTCATTGGAAATTAAGTCATTCAGGATTGTCCCTCACCTGGACTACAAGCTTCTTTATCTCCCTGCTTCTGCTTTGGCTTCCTTAAAATCCTGTCTGAAGGGAGTATCTTTAAAAACAAAAAAAGAGAGAGAAAGAAAGAAAAAGAAACAGGAAAAGTAAGCTATAGGTGTCTCTTCTTAACTCTCCAAATCTTTTCACTGCATTTAAATAAGCTCCCAATTTCTTTCTTGGCTAAGGAAGCCCTCCAGAGATCTGGCCTATGGTGACCTTCATATGCACTAGAATGGTTCCCAATTCAGGGCTTTTGAATTAGCCTTTGCTTACTCTTCCTTATTTTTAGAGGACTCATTCAAATCACTGCTTAAACGTCTTCTCTGAAGGGCCAACCTCTCAAATAGCCACCCAATCACTATCACCATCACCACTTACTGTAATTCTTTACAGTCAGTTTAACACATTTCTTTCTTCTTTTCCCTTTCAGATCTATCCCTAGAACCCAGGCTATCTTCATCAGTGCTCAAACGACGGCCTGCAGTCGTGCATAATAAAAAACAAACCCTTGTGTTCAACCAAACTTTGTCAAATGTAATTTGTCTCATGTCATGACAAGATGTATAATATGTATGAGTGTACCCTTTCTTCCTCTCCTATCTTTCTCAAACAGGACCAAACTTGACCCATAATGAGAATACAGTTAAAAAAGTCCTTCTCATCTGTCAAGGATTTCCATCCTTGAAGCTGTCCTTGAGGAGACAGTGCGACTTGACTGCATTTGCCTTTCGGATACTAAGTGGAAATAACATACTAGCTGTTCATCCTGGGTTTGGCGTGTCAGGGATCAAAGGTTTCCTTTCTGACGGGTGGGCACTAGGGCCCAGAGTTCCCTCGGGCTTTGGTGAAGTTGGGCTCGGCTGAGGGCCTGGTGCGCCGGGAGTGGTCTTCCCAGAGATGCTGGGGGAAGGGGCGGAGCTATGCCCAAGGATGGGCCGCCGGCCGCCGTCAGGTCTGTCGGGGCTGTCGCTGTGGGAAGGGCCCACGGCTCCAGGAGAAAGCAGAGCTAGCCTCGTGGCGGAGAAGTAGCCCAGCTGGCCCCAGGCGGTAAGACTAAGGGGTCGAAGGACTGGAAGCAGAGCCTGGAACCAAACCGTCAAGCCAAGGCCTGGGTGCTTGCTAGCTAAAAGGGTTAAACGGTATCCAGGACAACGGGCCAGGAAGCGCGCAAGACGTCCGCCGCAGGTTCGTAGGTCAGCCTGGAGTTTAAAGCTCCCACTGAGCGGGCTCTCGCCAATGGGGAGGCCGCCTCGATGTCATGTGACCTACAGAGTCGCTCTGCTAGCGGCCCTGGAGCACGTGGGAAGGTTTTTCTTTTTTTTTTTTTAACCTTGTTCCTTTTTAAAAGCCCACCCACTTTTGCGCGGGATAAGCCACGGGATTTCTCTCGCGAGAGGCAGCCTCTCGCGAGAGTGA